GTAGTGTTTTATGCCCTTGTTTTAAAGACTTCTGGTGAGTTGGCCACTCTTTAGACTGCAGAGGACGACAAATGTGTTTCAGAAGAGGGAATGTGAAACTATCAAACTGAAAAGCTGAAGCTGAATAAACATGAACAAATGCATAGAAAAGGACTATACAAGTATAAGACCATTTACCATCTTGTGTCTCACCCTCAAAGAGTATTTTTAATGTAGTCAGTGTAAAATGTTGTTCAGTGTTGGAGTTATTGGATAGAGTTGAAGGTGTCAGTGTTAATGTAACTCCTTGGAGATGTAATTACATTCCGCCAAGTGTCATGCAGTTTAAGGTATAGGTAAATTGATATCCAACTTACAGGAGTTAATAATTGATGTTTTGACTTCAACAACAAATTCCGCACGTGCTCTACAAAGCCTTGCTTGAACCAAGAACATAATAGTATTGACCTTGTTGCTTATATGGGTAGCGTGCACAACACTAGCGTAATGTACACTGTCACCACCAGTGTTGACCATTTTTTCCATTAGTGTCTCTGATTGAACTTTGAACATAAGACTTAATGTTTTCATTATCCAGTTTTTATCTAAAACTGTAACAGTGCTAATCACGGGACCATTTTCGAAAGTGTGAGTTTAACACTTTTTAGTGGTTTCCATATAATTTCTAGGAAAGTGTTACTGTAATTTTACCTCTAAAGGTAAGAAATTTGCTTTATCAAACTTGCATCTCCTTTGCCTTATGTTTGTCTCACATGGCGACTGTGCATACAATAAGTGCAGAAGCAACTGCATATAATGTGTGACAAATTGTTTCAGTAGTAATTTTAGCTGATACTAGACTGAGATAACATGACACTCATTTGCATGTGCTCACGGTCCCACATGTATTAGTTTGAGTGATGTGCAGTTAGTGTGGCATAATATTTTATTTTAAATTAAATGTGCTAGCAAAGCATTCCCATTTATCAGGTAATTAATGCCTTAACTTTGGGCAACAGCATAATTAGATAAATATATCAATATATACACTAAATATGTAAGTACATAGTAAAAATATATATAATTCAATTCTGTACATCCTTAACTAGTGCAGTTTTCACCATGGTGAAATGTAAATTTTGCTTTGACCTTGCTGTGTTCCTGTATTTCTAATTTAAAAATTTTTTTAAGTATAGTCTGAGTGTTTTCACTAAATTCACAAACTGGCTGTTCAGAGCAACACACACTCACACATGCTTTCTGAGTTTGCTATTAAGAGGAGTGCCAGGCTAAGAGAGCTCTTGACTCTGACAGCCTCTCCTGCCCACACACACATATACTCACTCATCCCCTCTCTCCTGACCATCCGGTAGAATGAGGTGGATAAGTGTATAATTATGTGATGTTTGTGACTGTTTCATCAGGTAGCAACAGCTGTCAGGTTGCAGACTGATCAGAAATATTTTGACATATTTAGGGCTTGGGTGTGAATTTTGAACTGAACTGAACAGTTAAACTTACTGTAGATAATGTAAAGAAACTAATGCATTAATACATGAACACTGGGTTTGGTCTGTGAAAGCGCTGTGTCTTTAAACTGTTTTAAATTACAGTTAGCTAGTTGCTTTTATAAAATGCTAACAACACAATAACATATTAAATATTAAGAACTATTATTATAGAGTGACAGGGCAGCCCAGCCCATATGCTGAACTATATGTTTAAAAGTATCTTTTGAAGATGTGTGTTTCTGTATTTTCCTATATTAAATAAAATTTAAAGCTGTTTTGTTTGCTTTCTTGACATATTGAAAGTGTACATTTTTCTAATTGTCTGTATTTATTGTTAGATACATGTAATGTTAATTCTGTTAATGATAACTTCATGGAATTGTTATGTTTATCTAATATGGGTGTGGTGATTCAGATTGATTTCAACCCTGCCTTTTTTCTGATTGGATTACTGGGGGTAACTGATGTTCAGACTAAACAATTTAAGCCCAATAACAGCCCGACACAATGGACGTAGGGCGTTGGAATTGACAAAATGGCGTCAGAGATGGAAGTCGATCGTTTTATCTCCTATAGTGGTCATAGTAAACTACAACTGATGCTGCATCTGACACTCCTCGTGACATTGGTTATTCACCTGCAGTGTTTTTTTTACAATAGCTATAATTTTTTAACCTCAGCCAGGTGTTTCTTGCTGTACACATGATGACGTAATGACAAAGGTTCCCTAACAAAGCAACAGTCATTCTATTCTATCCTAAACCAGTGTTTTTCTACAGCACAGTCACATGACAAAACATTTTTTTCATCAACAGTGATTTGTAATGATTTTGGAAGGCACAGACAAACCTTTTGCTGTCCTGCCTAATGGGACATCAGATCAGAAATGATTATATCGTGTGTTATTTTAGAGGACACGGAAAAATTACATATTTTTAACACTTTGTTAGAGTTGTTGAATTCAATATATAGTTTGTTTTTTTTACATTTTTTTATTGAGCACTCTATGCATACAGTGACTAAAGTCGGCCATACTAAGTGACTTAGTGTGTTTTTCAGACCTAATACATTTGTACATTTCCCTTAGAAAAGTTTTTGTTGATTGCCAATCATTCACTATTTCATACTTTTTTAAAAGTGACATTACAAAATGAATCATAACTGACTTTTTTTCCTCTGATGCTAAATCTGCCATTATGTAGTCATGGGCTTATGCACAGCCACCTCTGGACAGGCAGTATTACACAAACCCTGTGTTGTTTCTCTTTCCTAATCAAGGTACAGCTTTTTATGAAGTGTGATCCTGCCTTATTGTTTTGTTGTTGTTGTTGTTGTTATTTTGTCCCCCCCCCCCAACATTTATTTCACTCTGTTTTAGTACCTCTCTGGCACCGGAGTAGCATAAAAACAAGTCTTTAGTGAAGCATATAGGTGAAAGACATCCAGGAGGCACTTGTATTTCTGCTGTTGCTCAAAAGAGAAGTGATGAAAGCTGTTGGGTGGTGTGTGTGTGTGTGTGTGTGTGTGTTAGCTGGCCTGGAGAGGGAGGGGACACATCACTGACAGCTGCTTATCTTTGTAAGAAAATGTTGTGTGGATCTGTTGTGTCCTTGTGTGTGAATGTCTCTCTGTGCCTTGGGAAATCTTCTCCAAGTAGCAGTTGAACAAAACATGAAGTACACCTGATATATCTACTGATAACATGCTAACTATACAACACAAGGCTATGCCATGGAAATATAGTGTTTTATTGTATTATTAAAACTACATGCATTGTTAAATTTATACCTAAATGAAATTACATCCTCTGATTATGATGCTCTAAACCTACGTGAAAGCTTCCTCATGATACTGAGTGTTGTAGGTGTGTGTCATACTGTACATTTCCCTGTTTGTGTGGGCAAGTGTATTTTTTCTCAGTCTCTTTCTTTTTAGTCTGTAATCTGTTTTTCCTTTTACACCTTACCCAGGTAAGCCTGATGCACAACGGCTGGCCGGTGATTTCAGCGTTTGCTGGCGACCAGGATGTGACACGCGAAGCAGCCAGCAATGGCGTTCTGATCCAGATGGAGAAGGGGGACCGAGCCTACCTCAAACTGGAGAGAGGAAACCTAATGGGGGGATGGAAATACTCCACCTTCTCCGGCTTTCTAGTGTTCCCCATGTAGAGGAAGAGGAGGAGGAGCAGGGGGTGGAGATGAAGGAGGAGGAGCTGGTGGAAGATGGAAAGTGTAATGAAGAATGGGAAAATGCAGATGGAGGGAGAAGAGTGACATTGGACAAAGAAAAGGACATGAAAAAGATGGAGGGGGAGAAGATAAAAGAAGATGGAATTGTGACAACAGACTTCTGTTTGGGACGCTGCAGAGGGAGGAGGGAAGAGGAAGGATGAGAGATGTTAGAGAGATGTAAAAGCATGACAGAGAATGATTATACAAAAATAAAATGAGAGAATTATGGAGCCAGTACATGAAAGAGCATGGCCAGCTTCTTCACTTCCCTTCCTCCTTTCATCCATCCTTTCATCCATCCTTTTCCTCCCCCTGTTTTTTCTGTGGCTTGACTGCAGCTTTGGACAGCCAAAACCTTTTTTATTCTCTGCTGAAAGACGCAATTGATTTATATGTTCCAGAGTGTTCTAAAGCCCGAGTGTATCACCCCCATTTCCTCCACATTCACCATTCAGTCACTAGAACATAAGGTTTGAAGAATGTTTCTCAAAGAACTGCTCCCCACATCTCCCATTTACTGTGGCCATTTTTGTAGTCTTATTTCTTATGCTTGACATAAAATGCACTGATTTTGGATCAGCCTCTACCCCAAAGCCAAATTAGAATTTTTATAGGGGACACTCAAAACTCTGATCAGAAAATCAGGGATACATTTACATTCACCATGTTTTACAGTTAACATGATAAGTGTTAGCTTTTTCAGATGCAGTTTGTCCATGAGGTACACGTCTATTTCTCCCATCTTCTCCAGTCCATTTGTCCTATTCTGATAACTTCATCTTTGCACAAAGCCCCGCTCTTTCCTCCTGCATTCCTGTTGTCTTTTCCCATTCTTTGTCTTCAAAGTAGATGTCTTGTTTTCTTAGAGCTATCTGTTAGCATCAAGGATAACTCCTAATGTATAAAAAGTCAACCATAGTGTTTGACTATGACTTACAGAAACAAAGCTGGACACTTTGCAAATGAAAACCTAAAAAACAAATATGTCCAATCCAATGGCATGTGAAAATAACTTGCAAAATATAGATCAATGATCGTAAAATATCTAATAGAAATTATGTCTTTATATTACAAATGTTCAACTGCAGAGATGTTTTGAAACAAAGACAATCCTTCCACATTTATTTGTTTTAATCAATATAATGAGGAAGCATTAACACATTTGCCAATTACAACATTATATACACACATATATATA